ACAATAAAACATTTAAGAAAAAAAAAAGTCAGTAAGTGCAAGTAAAGTCGATTATTATATCTAATTATTCTTTTTGCCAGCTGAATTAGTCAACTAGAGAAAAAAAATTCCTTGTTCCAACACTACACGATATAAATGGGAGTCTGCATACAGTCTTTTTATAAACAAGGTGACTAGAACATGCAATTTTATATTAGGCCCACAGGTGGCAGAAATGATGAAGTGCTGAACTAATAACAGAAAGGTTGCTAGTGCAAAGTCACCCTGGGGTTCCTGAAAGGAAGCCACCAGGGCCACCAAGACCTTATGGAGCACGTTCTACTCGGCAGCACGTGGGAGCATCGAGAGTCGGAATCAACCCAACTGAAGTCAAAGAAATCACACTGAAATGTTGTTAACATGATTATTTTTGATAAGAATTATACATTATTTTTATTACTTTATTCTTACTTATCCTAAAATTTTCTAAAATGATAATAAATTACCTTTACTGTCAAAAGACACACACGATGTGGATAATTTTCCAACACAGTATGTACAAGAAAAAAAGTTGCATTCAAAGTACAGACTGAGTGCCTTCTGACCACCAGATGCCTGCAGAAAACTGCAGAAAACATCAGAAAGTAGTTCTCAATCGGGGCAATTTTGTCCTCTAGGCCCCCACTGGGTACATCTGGCAATGCCTGAAGATGGTTTTCATTGTCATGACTGGGCTAGAGTACTAGGTCAGGATACTGTTGTTCTGAAGTGCTGTCAAGTCAATTCTGACTCATAGTGACCCAGTATAGGGTTTCCAAGGAGCAGCTGGTAAGTTTGAACCGCTGACCTTGCAGTTCAAATGACTTTGCAGTTTGGCGCATTAACCCACAGTGCCACACTAGGACTCCCAGGATACTGTTAAACACCTGATCATGAACAGAGCAGTGTCCTATAACCAAACATGAACTGGCCCAAAATGTCAGGTGTTGAGGTGGAAAAGCCCTGCTCTAGTCCTGGGGTGGCACTGTAGGGTAAGCACTAGACAGTTTGAACCCAAGATCGACAGTTCAAACTCACTAGCCGCTCCTCGGAAACCCCATACAGGGTCACTATGAGTCGGAACCGACTCGACAGCACTTAACAACAACAAAAGACGTATCAGAGGAACTTTGGTTACACACTGGGTTATGTGGAGGGCTGCTAACCGCAAAGTCAACATTTCCAATCCATCAGCCACCCTACGGTGTGAGGAAACGGCAGCTTTCTGTTCCCATAACAGTTTATAGCCTCAAAAATGCTACATAGGGTCACTATGAGTCAGAACTAACTCAGTGGCACACAACGACATTAAGTGCACCTAGTAACAAATGCCCTTAAGATCATCAGAACTTCCCTGGTAAACAGTCTGCGTTAGGACAGGTAATACTGGTGTTACACTGTATCATTCTGAAAGCTCACAGCACTCTAAACTAGTGGTAATGAAGCCACTCATATACACACAAAGTCTCTCCACTGAGTCTCCGGTCCAGCATGGAAACAAGTAGGTCTACTTCCCCCACAACAGAACAGAGAAGAGAACTGCGACCCCTATTTAGAAGAGCCAAGAGGCCCAGGTACTTGGAGTGATCTACCTCTAAGTCTAAGAACTCACAGGTGCACAGAAGCCACCTAGTGGGACAACACATTTCGCTTCCATTTTAATTGGATAAATTAACAATCTATATACTCATTCATAAGGTGAAAAATGGCGAGGGAACTTAAGACGGCAGGCTAAGAGACACACTGATCATTCTTACGCCAGTTATTCATGCAGCATGGCCTTTTCAACTCACTGGGTAGAAGGCGTGCTCTAGGGGGCTTCACAAAGGAAAAATGGAAAGATCATCTTCCCATTAACTTTCTGACGCTCCCTCGCACAGCCACGTTGAGTTAACCATTTCCTCATACACACAGTCACTAACTTCACAATTTGTTTGGTTGTAGCCTATACCCCACATAGAAACGGAAAGAAAGTTTCACAGAATAGTACAGTTCTTACCACAGGTGACACATGCTAGTTTCTAACCTGTTTTTGTTAAAAAGAAAAGATGTGAAGAAGACTGGCCCAACCTCTGTACTGACTCACGACTCTGCGGTGAAGGGCTTACAACGTCCCAAGCCCTCAGTTGGGCTACCATGCTGCTACTCTGCAAGACAGCATGATCCTAGGCACCCACCCACCTTATCAGCAGGACTGAAGCTCAAGGCAGGAGGGGACACGCTGAGAAGACAGAAGTGGTACAAAACACACTGGGGTTCTGGATGGAATCCACCAAAAAGTACTACTCCCCCGCCCCAATATGAATCCTGAGACCAGAAGAAGTAGATGGCGCCCAGCTACCACTACCAACTGCTCGGACAGGGGTCACACTAGAAGGTCGTAAACAGAGTGAGGGAAAAATGTGGAACAAAACTCAAAATTGGGAGTGATGAACTTTTCAGCCTAGGAGCGGAGGTCCCTGGGACCATGAAGGGAGAAGAGCAGAGTGTAGGGCCCTACCCAGAGAAGCAGTAATGCCAGAGATGGCAGCAGAGACGATGACGTGGAGAGATGGAGTGGCTGGGGACTCTAAACCCAGAGAGGGAGAGGGACTGTGTGCTGATGACCGGGGTGCAGGCTTGTAGTGTATACTCTTTGGTTGGTTGATGATGCAAGGAGGTGATTGTAACCATGACAATGAAACAATATACGATAGGATGAATGTAAAACTAATGGTCTCCCATGTAAACGATTACATAATTCACAATGAAACATTAATTAAATTAAAAAAAAACACACACCTCAAAATCATTTTTAAAAAGATCAGGCTTACTGATCAGAGACTGATGGGACCCGAGACTCTGGCCCTTAATCACCCTGGAACTGAACTCACCCTGGTGGCTCAATTTCCAGCCAAACAACAGACAGGTTTATACGGGAACCCCCAGAAAGGAAACAGGATCTGAGATGTTTACTATGGGGATCGCAGTTCATGAGATGACTGATGAATGGAAACCTGAACTGCTCCGTAAACCTTCACTCAATTCACAGTAAAAACTGATTTCTGGAACTTTCTCTACAGCCTTAGCTAAACTAAGGAAAGGAGATAGAAGGGGAACTCCAGGAACCTCAGCTCTGTGAGGCCACCTCACATCTCCTTCAAGGCAAGAACCAATGACCACAGAGCTGACATGTGATGTCCAGGAGCCAACACAGATTTGCTACAAACTGACCTCAACTTCTTTTTGTAAAAGAATGCTTAGGTTTACCAATGAGAAAAAAACCCCAAATATGGTATCAATACCAGTAAAGTGACAAAAAACCACCAAATCACAGTCTTCAACTGATCAGTAAAGGAGCTTATCACTTGACAAGTTAAAAATAACTCAGCCACTCAAAGAAGAGAAGTTCTGTGTTTGAGGTCAGAGTGAGGCAGAGTGTTACAGTTCCACCTCATAGTGACCCTCTGCATGACAGAAGGAAACACTGCCCAGCCCCGAGCCATCTCCACAACTGCTGTTATGTTTGAGTCCGATGCTGCTGCTGCGTCAATCTGTCTCTGTGTGCACATGTCACTGGGGAGGGCAGGCAGGGAAAAAGGGTTTATTTGAGGAATGAGTCCCCAGCAGTCATATTTTAGCACCATAAAATTATTCCTTCTAGGAAAGGATTTGGAACAGTCTAAACCAAATAATGTGTCAGTCACACAGTAAAATTACATCTTCTAAGAACTCTCCTGTTCAGGGCCAATCATATTTCCATATGTCAATAAAAGTCAGACTTCCTCTTAACACCAAAATTACCATCATCTTCCCAAGAACTAATCAAGGAGCAGCTGCTAGTTCAAGAAACTGGTTGGACTCTTGTCAATTTCCTTAGCTCATGCCATATGGGCCCCTGGTGGAGGAGACGGCAGTCCTGGCCTTGTGCGCGGGGTTCAGAGGAGGAGAGGCGGGGCAGCAAAGAGGAATGCTGACTTAACGTCCTCCTCCAATTTTGCTCTTGTTAACAGAACCCCAATTCTGCCCAGGGTAGCAACATACCCAGTGCCCAATGATGATCAGGGCAGACGTTAGTCACGACAAACCTATTTTCTATTCATCTAGTGTGCTGGCAGTCAGGGATGGCCAAGTGCCTAGCTCTGGCCAATGAGCTATACAGCAATCTGCTAGGGCTGGGCACTTCTGGGGAAGCAGATAAAAACAGACAGACCAGACAGGTCCTATCACTTCCCCCTTCTTCCTGCTTTGAGCACAGGCATGATGCCAGGAGCTGCAGCAGCCATCTCATATCCAGGGGGTGAGGGCCAAGAGAATGTCAGAGATGCTGGCCCCGACACTGCTGAGCTGCGGAGTCACACCAGGCAGCCACCAGATTGCTTGGTGGGGGTGGTGTACCGTGGAGTCGATTCTGACTCACAGCGACCCTACATAGGGTTTACAGGAGCAGAAAGCCTCATTTTTCTCCCGCAGAACGGCTGGTAGTTTTGAACTGCCGTCCGACTTGTAACCACTACGCTATGAGAAACATAAACCCCTCTTTGTTTAAGTACTGAGAGTCTGGCTTTCTGTTTTTTTGGGGAACTAAGCATTCTTAACTGACTTGGTAGGTAACTCCATCAGGGACACAAGGTGACCTCTGCTAGAAATTTTTGCTCCTGGGCAGGACTAAGGATGAATGCAGCTGTGGCACCTCTCAACCACAAGGGGGAGCCGGAGGACAAAGGGAGAAAGAGTGAATGCCCTAACCTCATGGCTCCTCATCAGCCAGCCTAAGGGAGGTCTGGTCCTGGACGAAATGTGAGCCAATCTCTCTTTTTTGTTGTCGTCAGTTTGGTTTTCTGACACTTACCTTTAAAGGGGTCCTCACAAATGCAAACAAGGCCTCCTTTCTTCAGTGGCCAGCCCATCAGCCCCCAACTTTCAATCTCCACATTTGACAGTTTATCCACTGAGGTGGTCAACACCCAGAAGATGACTCAGAAAAAACGAGCAGCACTCACCTTCTTTATGTTCCTTCTGTTCAAGTTTCATCTTCTTTGCCAATAACTTCTTCTCTTTTAACTTCTGGCTGCAAATGGGAAATTGGTGCATTTACTCATTTAACCACTTGACTGCGTATTTCAGCAAATAAACATTAGGAAATACAGCTCTTCTAAAACTATGTCAAATGAATATTACAATCTCAACAGGAAAGAGGCACTCTCTCCTGACCCTGCTAACGCTGACTGCCAGTATAACCAAGCTGTTCTCAGCAAGCGTCAGGATCGAATCCTGGGGTGACTGCAGCAATCTCAGAGGACTGAGCTGAGCTCTTTTTCATTCCAAGATATTTAGGGCCTGTTATCAGTCCTGGTGTGGCGCTGTGGGTTAATGCGCCAGACTTCAATGTCGTTTGAACTGCAAGGTCGGCGGTTCAAGCTCACCAGCTGCTCCTTGGAACCCTATACAGGGTCGCTATGGGTCGGAATTGACTCGACGGCACTTTAACAACAACAACAACAGCCCTCTGGAGCCCTGGTGTGGCTCTGTGGGCTAATACACTGGACTGCAAAGTTAGTTTGAACCACAAGGTTGCTGGTCCATGCTCTCCACTGCTCCTTGGAAACTGTATACAGGGTCACTACGGGTCGAAACCGACTTGATGGTATTTAACTATAACAGCCCTCTATCCGTTGAGGGGCCACTTATTTAAAAAAAAACAAAAAAACACAGGCAACCTACATAATTCAGTAGTCACCTGAGGAGGTTATGGGAAATGGGATGTTTGCTTAGAGCACTTTGTAATCACAAGGAAGTGAAGGAAACATCAAAATCTAGGCCATCACCCAAGTACTGATTTCTCAGCTGTGGAGACTCTAAAACAAGCGGGGGACAGACAGTGACTTCCTCTGCCCTCAGGTCCTGGAAGGAAAGGCGTTCCTCTACTGACTTGTTCTACCACAAGTCGTAACACCCAAGACTCTACCAGGGTACAGGTGAACTCCACACCACAAATCATAACACCCAAGACTCTACCGGGGTACAGGTGAACTCCACCACAAATCGTAACACCCAAGACTCTACCGGGGTACAGGTGAACTTCACACAAGTCGTAACAGCCAAGACTCTACAGGGTACAGGTGAACTTTACACCACAAGAAGGACTCCACTCAGCCACTGTCTCTTCTCCCACTTCCAGCCCTGAAGGCCAGGCATAGTCCCAGAATGCCACAAGGCCCTTACCGCTTCTTCCGGCGCTTCGCAGTCTGCTCCTCTGCAGCGATTTTGTTCCTTTCCAGTCTCTTCTGAAACTCCGCATCCAGTTTTTGCTGCAGAAAAGCACATGGTTTAGCTACAGCTTTGTCAGGTTAGATGACGGGTTCCCTTGGGCTGGTATGAGAGGTTTACAAGTTCAGCACATCCCCCCTGGGCCCCAAGATGACGTCACCTTCCAGGGCCGTTGTTAAGTCATATTAGTTCTGACTCACAGCTGCAGCCACGTCATCCATCTCACTGAGGCTCTTCCTCCCCCTTTCACTGACTCTCCACCTCAGCCAGCACAATGTCCTTCTCCAGGTCCCTCCTGATAACTTATCCACAGTATGAGACCGAGTCTTGCCATCCTGCCTTCTAAGGCGCCATCTGGCTTGACTTCTTCCCAGACCAATTGCTAGGAAAGGACATTCTATTTGGTAAAGCAGAGCGCCAGTGAAAACATGCACTAAACCTGCCATGGCAACACAGCATGGCAGCAATCAGGAAGATGACCCAGGACTGTGCCACGTCAGTGCCCACTCAGTGAACCAACAACGGAAGGGTGTCTGATCTGTACACAGCAAATGCATGTTGCTTCCAGCCATAGCCACCATGGTCAATGGGCAACAATGGAGGTGCCAACAGAGGAGGAAGAGGCGACTCCCTCAGCCCAGCCACCAGGGATGCAGGGATTTGCTTAGAGTGACACAGAACCAGATGAACAGCTTCCTGAGAGTAGAAAATATGAAACACAAAGAACCCCCAGTAAGAAGAAAACAGCTTCAATTCAAGGAAAACTAGAAAACCAACCACTCAAACTTAAAAGAAAACAAACCACTTAAACCTTAAGCACTTGGCTTCTTGAGAAGCTGAGCTGGAAACATTCTACTCACTGCTGCTCAGGAAGCTGCACTTGCCATCAAGTCTAGTGAACGAGTCAGTCAGGCTGAGGCCGAGGCTCCCACAGGAGTATATCTGACCTTGTCCCCAAAGCGCTGCTGAATCGGTCAGTGTGAAAGGTGAGGGCTCTCGGGTCTCTCTAATGTCTGTTTTCAATCAGAGGCTGTCTCGTGCAGTCTGGAAGTCTGTATGGATGTCAGACTTTGTGCAGTATTTGTATTTTCTGAATCTTTAATGACTATATCGAAACTTCACACTAAAGTATGGTGTTTGAGACAATAGCCTGCTTTATTTCCTTCCCCCTGGTGCTGTGGATGAGCACTGGACTGCTAATTACAAGGTCGGTGGTTCAAACCCACCAGCCGCTCCTCAGAAACCATATACAGGGTTGCTGTGAGTCAGAACTGACTATCTACAGCACTTAACAACAGCAACAAAGTTGTTTAAACATAAAAGTGCTTCTAACAGTTTCTCTACTTGGAGCTTCATTCAAATCCGTGGTAGTGACCAGGTGTAGCTGTGTGGCAAATCGCCTGAAACTTCCAACTAGGATTGGGAGTACCACCGCAAGAAGATGGCCGTTGCTGGAAAACAGCCACCATCTGAAAGCTGAGAAAGGGTGTGGACAAGCAACCGCCGGGTGCAAACCACCACGAACCATTCAAAGCAGTTCTAAAATTAGAAGGATGTTTTTCAGAACTCAGTGCTGACCATTTCAATAAGTCCTTACCTATTTCCTTCTGTACCTTGGCTGTTTGTTTGGCTTAATTTTTTTCCCTTATCATTTTATTCTGAACAATTTCAAACACAGAAATGATGAAAGAACTGAGACACTGCCCAGCCCCTCCCCTTGCATTCTATAGTTAATTGATTTACCAGCTTCATCACATACATATCCATCCACGGGTCCATTCTGTGTTCTCATGCGTCTCAAAGTAAGCTGCACACACTGGGGCATTTTACTAATGAAGATTTAAGCATGCACAGTGCACCAGACTGCAAAGCCGTTTGAACTGCAAGGTCGGTGGTTCAAGCTCACCAGCTGCTCCTCGGAAACCCTATACAGGGTCGCTATGAGTCAGAACTGACTCGACGGCATTAACAACAACAACAACGATCATTAACGACGGAGTCCTGGGGTGACGCTGTGGTTAATGGGCTGGACTAAAAAGTTGGTTTGAGCTGCAATGTTGGCAGTTCAAGTTCACTAGCCACTCCTTGGAAACCATATACAGGGTCGCTGTGGGTTGGAACTGACTCAACGGCACTTAACAATTAGTACAAAAGGGCTTCAAAAAGTTCATGGAAAAATGGAATTAAAAGAACAGAATTCTTCTATGAACTTTTTGAAGTCCCATCATTTCCTTTTAAGGTAGTACATATGACACATGTCCAAGTCTCCAGAGTACAATCTGATCCCCTCAAACCTGCTCCTGCAAGCAGCACTGTGACTAGTGTGGCCAGCTTTAGAACCTTCTATAAATGGAACCATTAATATGTGTCTTCTGATCGGGTTCTGTACACTCAGCATGCTTTGAAAATTACTCTTATGTTGCATCAAACAGTAATTTGCTCTGTTTAATTGCTACATAGTATTCTATGTTAGGAATATTGTTTGTTATAATTTTTTTTTTTTTATGTTTTATTGTGAACTATGTGATAGTTTACATGGGAGAACATTAGCTTTGCATTCATCCTGTTGTATATCAATTCATTGCCATGGTTATAATCCCCTCCATGCATCATCAACCAACCAGAGGGTATAAACACTACAAGCCTGCCCTCTCGGTCTTCAGCACACATCCCCTCTCCCTCTCTGTGTCTAAAGTCCCCAAGTGCTCCCTCTCTCCATTGTTATGATTTTTAAAAGCATTTTATTTACTGCAGGAATAGCTTCTATAGAGTCCGATTTTTCCCCCTTCCAAACCATCTTTTAATTTTGAAATTTATTGTATAAAATCATCTAATTCAGGAGTTCTAATAAATTTTCTCCTCTAAATTTAATAAATTTTGTTGTTGTTGAGGAACTGCATAGAAAAACACACCCACAACAGTCTCTGAGCGTACAATTTAGTGATGATGGTGACTTTCTTCAACCATTCCCTCCTTTCTTTTCCGAGTTGTTCCTCCCTCATTAATATAAATTCGCTGCCCTCTAAGCTTCCGATCTAATCTTTTAACTGCTACTGTCAATCTGATCCTGCCGAGAGCCAGCCCCAGCAAACTTATTCCAGGGTTTTTCCGAAAGCGGGTGTGCACATCAGCTGATTAACGGAGTCATGAGCCATGATAAATTCAAAATCTTCTCATTACATGCTTTATTATTATTACTTCTACGGCTACTCTAATACTCTACTTCTCTCATTCTTTACTGTCCTGCTCATTTCTTCTGTTTCCTTTCTCCCCTCCCCTGCTCCTGCTTCCATTCTCTCCTCTCCTGCTCCCCTCTTCTGCTCCCTTTACTAACTTCCCCTCCCTCCATTCTTGTCTCGTTCTATTTTCCTCTACTTACTCTTACCTCTACTTCTTGCCTCTAATTCTTCTTCTTCCACCCATTCTTCTACTTCCCATCTTCCCTTCTTCTTCACCCCTTCTTTACCTCCTTCTTCTTTGTTCTCTCTGTTCTATCTTACAACCCCCTTATATACCCTTACAGAAAACATTGCTTTCATAGTAATCAATGACATCAAGGAACAATCTATCTTGAGGCACATTCCTTATGGTTTACAATTCTTAAATTTACAACAGGGATGAGAAGTTACAGCAAAAACATTATCTCAAGGCATAGGAGACATTCAAGCGTCTTGAAACCTTTTAGTTAAACATTTGTTCATACATAAATCTATTCTTTTCTATGAGAAGCAAGTTAACCTTCACATATTTCTTAACCTTTGTCTGTTAAGTCTTGTTAATTTTAGTTGTTAGGTGCAATTAACTCTCCATTAACTTATTCCATACTCTATCTGTTTACAGCCTACAAAAACATCACTTATCAGGGAAACTGAGGTTATGAAAAACAACTTCTCTAATTTACTGATCATTAATTTAAGAAAGTCTAAGTCAGACTTTTTATTTAGTATCTGTATATACCCATAGCCTTTATCTAATTGTTTTTAGGAATTCTTGTACCCACAGCCCTTATTTATGGCTATTCACGTTTAGGATTCTTTATTGCCTTAAACTGAGGCTACAAGGAAGAATGTTTACAATCACTAAACCTAAGCTGGCAGTAATTCAATTGACAAGTCCTGTCTCCTAGCAGTCTTAAGAACATTGTTAATATAAGTATTAAAACTACCTAAGATTACAAGTAGAATAAAATGTAGCTAATGTGTGGCTTCTAACTTTTAATAAAAAATACTAAAGTGTACGAGAGTCAAAAATCTAAAGTAAAAGGGATACTAATAAAATCATGAATAACTCAGAGAATGATTTAACAAGAGAAATTTTTCAACTAGGGGTCTGTGCATAAAAAACAATAAAACAACTCTTTGTGGCTCTGCCATCCAAAGAGAGAAAGAAAGAAAGAAAGAAAGAAAAAGAAAAGAAAGTATTTCATTGTTGCTTTGCAAAGACAATGAATTCTTCATACACAGGTTCCCACCATGTCTCATTTAATTCCTCGATTAATATGTCTCAATTTATTTATTTTTAATTCCTTAATTAATTATGGCCCTGGCCATGATCCCATAGGGATAGTTCATCCAAGAGCGGAATCCTCACTAGCTAAACTAAACTGGTATTCAGTTTGAAGGAGACTTCAGGGGGGATGTTTTGGGTTTAAGGTTGAAAGATGATCACACAGAAACAGCTTCTCCACCCTACCTGGCTCCAGGAAGTCTAGAATCTATTAGAATTTGAACTGCTGTATTTCTCTCCCTTTATTCAGGATTTTTCTCTGGTTGATCACAATGTTCGGCACTGATGGCCAGGCACCAAGCATTCAGTTCTTCTGGTCTCGTGGCAAAGGAGGCAGGCTTTGATGGAGACAATTATCTTCCTACCTGTTGCTCCAGGTGAATGGGGACCAATTATTGTGACTTGGATGTTCCTTGCAAGTTTTTAAGACCCAGGAAATATCCAAAAAACTAGGAAGTGAACCAGGAATACTAGACATGTTATTAGTGTTTGGAATGTCCTATGAAACCATGATCCTAAATCTCCAAACCAAGGA